ATATATATACATTATATATATGTGCATATTAAAAAAAGTGATTTTATGATATGCATTCAAATATTTTTCTTCAAATTATATGGATCTGAATTATCATGAATTCTTTTAATAAATTCGCTCGTTTTATCTCAAATGTTAATTAAATTATACATTTTTCCTTAAATATTCATAAATGAAAGGTTGTATTTTTGATGAAATAAATTTGATATAATTATTTAAAAATGAAATTATATACAAATATTAATATTATTTTAAGTTCATAAAAAAGGTTTTTTTATACATATTTTTTCATTAAAAATTCCTCAGTTTCGCTCGTCGTTACCGTCGTTGGAACAAAAAGCAGCTGTCGTTGTATCTCGAGCGCACGCATCTTATAGCGCCCGCGGTGCGGCGTTCCACCGCTCTCCCCTGCCCTTCCTCCCCCCGCTCTTCTTTTCATGATCGGAAGGCGGCGCTGCGGACGCCTGGTCGGTCGTGGGCGATCAATTCTCCCTCTTCTTCCCGCATCCCCCCTCGTACCATCGCGTCCTCCTCTTCCCCTTTGCTGAGGGCCACGAAGGCCATGATCCCGGGTACGGACTCCGGTGGCGGTTCCGCCGGCGAAGAGGATCCCTCTCTAGCGAAGCGCGTCGCTGACCGCTACCTGAAGCGCGAGGTGCTCGGCGAGGGCACCTACGGGGTCGTCTTCAAGGCCATCGACACCAAGGCAAATCGGTTAATAGTCTTGCTTTCTAAATTGGATCGTCGATCGTTTAACCGATCGATGTCAACGAACACTCCATTTGATCTCTTGGATCAGGGTTTAGAATCAATGCTTTATCGTCTTGATTGCATAAGTTTTTTTGTGTCTGAACCAAAATCTGAACTTACTATACTGAAAGTAAAAAACCACCATTTCCATCAGACCCAACCGAAACATCAAGATCTGGAGGCCAGATTTCTCTCCACAGACAAGAATACTTGGTGGCTCCAGCAAATGAAGCAGCCAATCATCGATAATTAGGTTTCATATGATTGCCAAGCTAGCACAATTGGGTTCACAGGCTATAACAACAATGAGCCATAATGTCCACCTATTTTAGTTTGGCTATATGGATTTCTTCCCACGATTGACAGGATATTGTTATATTAAGAGCAGTTAGAATTCACTTTATTGTCCCTTAAAAAGGTTTCTTAGGATTTCTTATTCTTCTCCTCACCACTAATCCTTATCTATTCACCACATCCAATTGGGGCATCTATAGGTCTCCATTGTAAATGTTCATATTTATTTGAAATGGTCTTTCCCATTTTGTCTGTTACTAGAGTTCAGGAATTTAAAAGCCTTTTTTTTTTTCTGGTACTCCTACACATCCATACCAATATCCTCATCTAAAAAACACTGATTTTTTGTACATTTATTTCATCATAATTTAACTTTGCAAACTGTGAAGCATGGTCATACACTTATGACCTTTAGATATCATTTGTCAAAGAACCCAACAGTTCTCGACTTCTTATCTTATAAGCATTATGCATGGAAGTACTAATAGACGATGAACTTTTACAGACGGGGCAAACAGTTGCAATAAAGAAGATTCGACTTGGACAGTACAAAGAAGGTGTAAACTTCACTGCACTTAGGGAAATTAAATTGCTTAAAGAGCTTAAGGATCCAAATATTATTGAGTTGATTGATGCTTTCCCTCACAAGGGTAATTTGCATCTTGTGTTTGAATTCATGGAGAGTGACTTGGAAGCTGTCATTCGTGATAGAAATATTGTCCTGTCTCTAGCTGACACAAAATCATATCTCCAAATGACCCTAAAAGGACTTGCATACTGCCATAAAAAATGGGTTGTACACAGGTAATTTATCTTCTCTGTGTTTTCAATTTTCCTTTTTAACAACTTCTAACCCAAGTGTGCTCATGTATCAGGGATATGAAACCCAACAACCTACTCATTGCTTCTGATGGACAGCTTAAGCTTGCGGACTTTGGTCTGGCACGCATCTTTGGAAGTCCAGATCGCAAATTTACTCACCAGGTTTTTGTTTAATTTTTTCTATGTTCCTAATTGTTTAGATAATGCATTGCAAGCCATTCATATGTAACTATCTTATATCAAATAGATAAGACATGTGTATGGAGACTTAAAATAATCATGTTAAGAATGAAATGTGCATGAGATGAAGCAAGAACTCCATTTTTTGTTTTCTTGTCAGTATACATGTATAACAGATTATGATATTTTTAATCTTGGTTTCTAAGCATGAGTGACAAACTTTCACATTTAACATATGTGGTGTCAAATTCCAACTATACCTCAGACAGATGCATGACATATAATTTTTTGCCTTTCTGGGGTTAAAATTATTTGTATGTCATATAGAGTTTCTAACAGGAGATTATATGGTGACCTTTGTCTTTATATTTGACATCACCAATTTTGACAAAGTACTAAACTTTTGTGCTAATATGCAGTTGTGTGCAACTGTGCATCATATGTGCTATGGGCATGCCTGCTCATCGGGCAGGTTCAGAGAAATTACTGGTTCACCGCAATCGTTTGTTGTTCTTTTTCACCCATAGTTTCACTATATGTATAATGAATCAACTAGACTTACCTGGATGCTTATGGAAGTTCGAATGGAAGATCCAGTCAATCAACTTATAAAGCTCTTTGTTTGGTTACAAATAGGTGATTCCATTTGCATCACACTCATCTCCAGTGTCCTGCCTAAGTTAGTGACTATGAGGAATCCACTTTGCTACACTACTTGTGCTATCTGTCTCCAGCTGCAACATGCCTATTACCCAGGGTACCTTCTTCTCATGTGGTTCCCTACACGCACATGATTGTGCTTCTCACCTGGTCCGTACCCACATCCAGGCCATGTTAGCGACTGACTACAGTCTCTGCCAGCACCATCTGATATGTCTCCTGCGACTCATGTGGTGTTTCTTCAGAACTTAAACCAGGTGAGAAGCACACTACTTGTGCTATCTGTCTCCAGCTGCAACATGCCTATTACCCAGGGTGCCTTCTTCTCATGTGATTCCCTACATGCACATGATTGTGCTTCTCACCTTGTCCGTACCCACATCCAGGCCATGTTAGCGACTGACTGCAGTCTCCGCCAGCACCATCTGATATGTCTCCTGCGACTCATGTGGTGTTTCTTCAGAACTTAAACCGAAGGGCTGAATCAGATAAGGAATTGTTGATTCCTCAAACTGCAGGAATAGGGTTGGTGACCATGTTTCCCAACCAGATGTGGTTTTGTGTACCTGTTCTCATTGTCACAAGCCTGGGAACCAGTGAGAAGCATAGTAACAACTGTAATCTAGTGACAAAATTATATTTTTACTAATATTTGGGCCTATGCAGGGTTTCGGTACTGGAATTGTGTGAATAAAAGGAGCACGTGAGCCCCAAAGGCATGTCAAGAGTGGTATTATTTTTTGTTATTTTATCTGCAATCTGCAATTCCTGGCAAGAAAATTGGTTACATTTCTTTTAGATTAATCCTCGGAGACTTCTTGTCTTCTTCAAACTAGAGACACTTGACAATTTGGCACTAGAACTTGGGTCACTTGACATCCGACAGGTTTGTACTATGGCAATCGTTGTTATGAATTATCCATTGAAAGTGGATCTGAGCATATCTTGTTCATATTATACATTTTGTTTCTACCTGTTGAGTGGAAAATGTATTTTACAAAAGTAATAATCTGTTAACTTCTCTACAGTCTCAATCCAAAAATCATTACATATGCTGTTCATATGTCTTGATCAGATCAACTTAACATATGATACCCATTTTACTTCGTAGGTTTTTGCCCGTTGGTATAGAGCACCTGAGCTATTGTATGGGGCCAAGCAATATGGGGCAGGGGTGGATGTGTGGGCTGCAGGTTGTATATTCGCCGAACTTCTCCTTAGACGACCCTTTCTGCAGGTCTGACGAGATTCATTTTCATTTGCCCTTATTATCTGAATGTGGATTTTTTGTTGAGATACTTCTATTTTGCAAGATATATAGCTACAAATTTATTTCTTTTCTAAATCATAGGTTTAAATGAGATTGTGATTCTTTTTTTGTTTGCATTGGCAAACAAAGATTAGATTCCTTCAACTTTTTTGCTTCACATTCTTGAAAGTAATGAGGAGGATCCTATCCTTTTTTCTGTTGAAGATGTATAAATATGAAAGAACGTTCTTTAAGAGCCAACAGAATGGAAAGCAAAAGAAAAATCCAAACTACAACAACACATCACCATCCAGATCACTATAACCGACTACACACTAAAAAGTGTGAACATATGCTTACACACAAAAAAGAAACCAGCAAATAGATTCAGAATTTGTCATGGCCCAAAGTAGCATACCTCATCAATGAGCACATATTCAATGAAAGATCCAAAAAAAATCATACTATCAATTTTCTTTCCACCAAATCTGGATTTATAACTAAAGGTTCTTGGAGATGATCGAAGGAGGCTCTTCTATATGATTCTGTTGCTGATATTTGATATTATGCTTTTGTACCCTTTGTTCATGTGATGAAATTTACCTAGAGTCACATTCATTGAAAATTTAGCCATTCAGAATCAAGTTCCTTATGTATAATGCCTGAGTGGTTTTTATTTTCATACTGTGCTGGTGTGTTGATGGTGTTTTCACAACAAACAATTTTTTTCTCATTTCAGTTATTATTTGAAGTTGGTGTGTCGAGGCACACCGTATCAACCAATACATGCTAATCTGTTCTGATTTTGGTGTAGGTACTAGTACCAGTGTTTTTTATTTTTATTGTATTTCTCTGCTTTTCAAGTAAAATATTATTAAAACAATCATCTTCTTCAGTCATCTATCTATTAGCCTCTTCAACTTTAACAGTAATCTCAGGGATCAAGCATATTGATGGTTATGCACATATTGACTCTTGAGAGGATGTAAAATTCTGGGCCCGTGCAGGTCGATCATAAAAGACTGTATTTGTTTTTCAGGGCTCAAGTGACATCGATCAACTGGGAAAGATTTTTGCGGCTTTCGGGACTCCAAAGCCTTCTCAGTGGCCTGATATGGTGTACCTTCCTGATTATGTTGAATACCAATATGTTCCTGCACCTCCATTGCGGACACTTTTTCCAATGGCTAGTGATGATGCCTTGGATTTATTATCAAAGATGTTCATTTATGATCCGAAGGCAAGAATAACGGTTCAACAGGCTTTAGAACACAGGTGTTTGTGGTTTCATTTGTTGCGGAAGGGAATATACAGCTTTCACTGAGAACTATTTTATCTTGAAATCAGGTACTTCTCATCAGTACCTGCACCAACAAAGCCATCCTTGCTTCCAAGGCCACCTCCAAAGGGAGAATCACAGAATCAGAAGCCTTCAGACTTCAATCCACAGGAAGGGCCTATCGTTTTGTCTCCGCAAAGGAAGCTAAGGAGGGTCACCCTCGACCACGATGGATTGGCGGGAAGCACATTCCGATCCGAAAAGGCTGGTGAGAATGCGAAGGAAGTCAGACATATGGATGGGACTACTAGTCAAAGTGGTAGTATGCCGATGTCGATAGACTTGGGAGCCATGTTTGGCTCCATACCACCTCCTAGACCAACTTTGAACAGGTAATAAATATTTGTCTTGAAGTATTTATTTCGTTTAAAGTTAGCAGCTTTAGGAAATAATCATGCAAATATCTTCTTGCTCTTATATTTCTGTGAAATCTCTATCGGCTTTGTAGTGTTGATAGGTCGCATCTGAAGAGAAAACTTGATCTGGATGCTGAATTTGATCACCTGTAGCGACAGCAGACGCGTGTGGTGACTCGAGGAACAGTGTTGTAAGTCAAGTTTGAACTTGTACAGATAGCAGCAGGACCAACAATGGCAATGCAAAAGATGCAGTTGGAATGAAGAGCACTGTTAGATGATATGGTTTGGACGGTGAGTGCAGAACGGAAAAAGAAATCTAGGTTTGCATTGAGATGGGTAATTAAATCGATCACGGAGAACAATATAGTTGAAGCAACTTGCTGCTTATTTCGAGCATGTAATTTCATCCAATCCAATTTTTTATCTATTTTTTCTTTTGACATCTGATAATAGGTCGACATTGCGGTGCTGTGGTTACAAACTCGTGCTGCCGAGCATAGTTTTCATGGTTAAATTAATTTGATTATTGTTGTGCCGCATCGGATGTATATTTTGAGTTTGTCGTTCGGTTCAATGATCTACTGAGTTAATTATCTCATCATCAGATCGTCACAAGTGGTAGATGTGGACGAGATAAGAGTGCATGTCGCATCGAATCATCGAGTGGGGCTTCATACATATCATTTTAGGGTTCGATTCTGGTTTATATTGGTAATTATATTGGTCGACGTCAAACATTTAAAGGAGGAAAAATTATACTCTCACATCGGAGAAGTCGGTAATGACTTGAATCACATCTATTATCAATTGATACAAATTTAATAAGTTAGATTACTCCATCAGATCATGATAAATGTTATCAGAACTAATATAATATTATCATATTGAGTAGGAAAGGATTATGATTGAATAAATGGAGCCATCGCTGAGTTGGAAATTACTTAAAATATCTCATGCTAAAATTTGATTTTGGAAATAACTTTAATATCTCATACTAAAATTTTGATTAAAATGTTGATTCTCTATGTTTTAAAATAGAGAAAGTTGTTAAATCTCGAATTTTGACGATAAAATCAATTGATGAAAATATGATATAATGTGCATTTGAGTAACGTACGGTTAACCTCAATCAAGAAAAGGTAAATCGATTGATGTAGGAAGAATCAGACGTTGGGTCTAAGTAGAACATGTTAAAAGATTAAACGTCGGGCCGAAGGATTGGTCGACGTGCCAAAAGAACTTCATGCCATGAGTTCGGGTATGAGTCAAAGGATCGAACATTGCGCTAGGGAGATCGGAAGTTGCGAGAGTCAACATATTGATTGGGCAATATACTGAAGGAGAGGACGATGCGCCGAAGAATCGGATGAAGCACCGGATGAACCAATGACATACCAGACAACATAAGATTCGAGTTTATAATCAATTATATTTAGATCGAGTTAGTTTAGGTCTAATTGAGTTGTATTGAGGTGAAACAATGCTGACTCAATTAAGAGCCAACTGGGCCCGAATTGGAGCCGTTTTATGCCAAGTGGAAGACTCATTCGGTGACCTATAGTTGGCTCAAGCGATGGCACCGCTAGACTGGGCGGTGGTATCGTCCAAACATAATCTCCCAAATAGTATCAAGCGATGGTATCGCCTAAACGGTCTCCCAAACTGTGTCAGACAATGGTACCATTAGATTGGGCGATGGTACCGTCCAATGTTAGTGCTAGTGTCAGTGCTACAGGTGGTAGTACTGTCAAGACCCGAGACCTTTTTTGGCTCATTTTTTAAGTCATTTGGTGTTTATAAATACCCCAGCTATTTATACTGGGATAAGTATAAAATAGAGTTGAGAAATAAGGAAAGAATTCTTATGAAAAAAGTTATAAATCTATCTTAGCGTAGAGTCACCTCTTTCTAGTATTTAGAAGTTCTTCTAAAAGAAAAAACAAGGTCTAAATTTAAAAGAGAGAGATACAAAAGTTCTCTCCTGAACTTGTGAAAAGGAGAAAGAATTGTAAGGATAGTTGACGTTCGCTCATTGAGAGAGATGCAATCTCTCCTGAGCTTAACAGATCAATTCATCACTTTCACCTATCGGCGTATTATCTCCGTATGGTCAACACATTAAGTGGGACCGATCTTACGAGATTAGCACTATGGTGCGACCAAGAATATCGACTCAGCCCTACAAAGTCAACCATACGGCACTGACAAGAAAGTCCAATACATATAATCACCCATTCAAGAAAGTCAAATACATACAAGAAAGTCAACCATCCAGCCCTAATTACATGATCCATTAATAATCAAATACATATAATTATTCCTAGTATTTACCACGATCTCAAATCAGTAATCACCTATCAAATATAATTATTCCTAGTATATGAGAGGCCTTGTCAAATATACCTGATAAAACTTTTTGTAGGATTCAATTGATTCGAAAGTGATTTTTTGTTTTATATATACAAAAAAGGGTAAGCGATAAAGACATGATTCACATGTGTGATGAAGACGGACGATCTTTTATCAACTAAGTTAACACCTTCGACAATCAAAATTTAACTTAACATCTAATAAAAACGTTAATAATTAACAACAAAATCTTGAGATGGAATCGGTATTAATAAATTACCGGAACCTGTATTTAATTAAATTAAATTAAATTAAAATAGTACTAGTTTAGTTGGATAGATATATCCTCCAAAAACATTGATAATGTCGTTATTATCATTTTAACAACAGGTAGAACATTTACAAATTCAAACACTTACTAGTCACTAACACAAAAGCGACTCTTTTAAGTTTAGATTTATATATTTGCGCCCTTTAAATTTAAGTTTAGCTTTGTCCATGTATTTTCTTTAACCATTAAAAGAACACCATATGTTCACTACTAGCATCATTTAAAGAGCATGAAGGGAAATTATCATTTACTATATTAAGAATATTAAAGATAAATATATATATATATATATATATATATATATATATTATCTTGAATTACTAAAATCACCAACCTAATCACGATTCCCAATCTTGATGCGCACCGAGAAGAATCATCCTCCAACACCAATCTTAAGGAGATTGCAGATGACAAAAGCCAAGCCACCTCTTGTAGGAGCAGACCCACCCACCGCCGGAGAGAAGAACCACTTCGAGGTCGCTGCGAGACGACCCTAACCGCTTGCGATTAAAAGAATATTATTTAAAATCATATTATGCTATTATTCCATCAACATATTTTGTCATTTTTTTGACAGCTAACAGCCAAGTTTCAAGTCTTTACAAGTGCAACATCAATTACTGGTTGATATAAGATTGGAACAGAAGACAACCAACATTTATTGGTTGTCTAGATAATATTTAGATCGCACTGCAACAATGGAGGAAGAGAAGCTATATCAATACTTGATTGCCTTGCCGACTCAAATCTTATATACAGAAACAAAATATGAACAGATCAAAATTTGGCTATTAGAAAGAGTGATGTGAATCAATGATAGATAGTTACCATGCTACTTTACTAATGATTGCATCGCCTTAAACCCTGTGGCCAAGTTGGAAAGGAGAGAAGCCAGGATAGGGTGGCAGAGTGGGGGGTGATGCCAAACTGCAGGGTTTTCTAAAATCAAAGGACAGTATTTTTTTTTGTAATAACAAGTGAGTGGAAATTTCAAGTGTCATTAGCTTCAACTCCGATGCTAGTGATGTACCGTACCAAACAGCATCCAAGAAAAAGGAGATACAGGTTCCAGAAAGCTTAGAACATTCTTCCCCAAACCTGCTCTTGGAAAATAGAAATCACTCGATGCAGAAGGCTTTTCCAAACTGTATACAGTCCCCCCAGCAGCATGAGTTAGCAAAGATGGTGTCAGAAAAGAGTAGTTAGGATCAGGAGTTTCTTGGATTAGGTCGCAATGCTTTTGCGAAGTAGTTGCGGATCTCCGGGATGATCCGTTGAATCAGATGGGAATGCCTACAGAAATCCATTAGGGTCATGGCTTGAGTTCGTGTAGACCAAGTTAAGAAATTTTGAAGAAACAGCAGAGTAGAAAGTACCCTGGCTGAATGCTTATTTTGTCGAATTGCTCCAAAATAAACAACACACAAGTGTGCCTCAGGGACATGGCATGGAATGCCTCTGACAATTCATACATGCTAGAGATGTTGTCTATGTTGACATCCTGCATAAGCAAAGAATATTTCAGCTTTAATACATAACTACTATTACTAGCTGAACAAAATTTCCGAAAAGAAGGAAAAATACATCATCTATTCACCTGCGCGATAGCATATTCACATAAGCGTTTAAGACCCTCCAGAAGATACTGATCTGCAGCTCTTAGTAGGTCTTGTGCGATATTAGTAGTAACCTCGACTGATCCTGTGTATATAAATCTGCAAACGAACACCCAAATGTCAAACCCCATAACACAAAGCATCATTAGTATGAAGAGTAACTGCACTTGCCTCATCATCAATTCAAAAACCTCCCATCTTATATTAGGAATCTCAATGTCTCTTGCATCCTTCTCCTGTAACAAATCAGGAAAAGTAAGACATTTTTAATCAGATCTTACTAGGCCAGAACAGGTACTACGATATCTTGCTCTTTCCAGAAGCGACTTGTTAAAAAAAATATAACTTTCGTCATTCATACTCTGACATTGTTTAGTAGAAAAAGTTTCCGAACATATCATACGCTGACATTCTTGGGGCTTGTAAATACCATAACTTTGCAAGAACAATTATTTATCCACCTGAATGTGAGTAAAGCCTAATTATAGAGGAAAAACAAACATGGTAAGAATTAAGAGTTTCCTTACCCTGTATCCACCATCAAACATTGCACGAAATGCATCTGAAGAAGCAAGCAAAGCAATTCTGTGTGCATAGAAGCGCTTGCCTGGAAGAGAACAGGAAAAGAAAACATTTTAATATGTAGCAAATAACTGATAGCATCCTCATGAATGGGAAATGAAATGTGAAAAACTTTATGAAAATTTTAAAGGTTATCCACATTTTTTGATGGAAAATAACAGCATAGTAAGAATATTCTACAACCTTCAACCAGAAAGGTAACATCTGATAGCGTGGAGCTATTCACATACTGCTCACCCAGATAAACCTGCAGGAAACAAATGACTAGTAACACGTACAATGCATTGATTGGAAACAATAACAAACGTTACTATTCTGTTCTCACAAAAGCAAATCCAAACAACATAATTGAAGTTTTTCTACCAGGCACTTTAGAAGGAGGATGTCACCAAGATAAGATATAGTTGCTTCTATATTCATAGATATATACAGCTGTCTGTTCTGAGTCTTCTGACAAACTGGTAATTAGCTTTTAGGACCTTTGCATAATTCATGCATTTCTCAATATTGTAGTATGAACAAGTTCCAATATGAAGTTAATCCTTGTACACCGGGATGTCCAGTGTAAGAACACCAATACTGAGAATCCAGGATCTTTAAATTATTAAAATAATAATCATGACATTCGATGTGAATAATTTTCTTTCCTTCCTCAATGTGA